ACAGGCTCCACAGAACAGTTAGAAGTGAAAATCAAAATGTCAAGTGGGTTGCTGAGATGTCTATGAGGTTTTTCTCCTCTGTCTCTTGACCTCTTAGGTCAGCTTTACACAGCTCCAGTTAAAGCTGACACAAGGTTCATCCACCAACCCACCCAAGGTTACAGATGCTTAGACAGCTGGTGGCAAAGCGACCCTGCCCTGGCTAGCCGTGTGCAAGTGCACTAGGGTCACCACAGTTGCAGCTTTTGTGAGTCAGCGCCCAGTCGGTGATGGGCTGTGCAGTGACCCAGCTGCCTTCAAGGGGTCCCTGCTCCTGTATCCCTTCGCCCGTGCTCCTGGAACTTATTTTGGTAAAGTCATTGGCTTATCAAGTTGGTCTGTGGTGTGTCTTGGTTTGAATGGGAAACGTTCCCCTCTGGGCTAATGTATTTGAACCCCTGCAACCCAACTGGCAAGATGGATAGCACAGAGGGCCGTCTCAAGATGTTAGGATTATTCTGTATAATACTGTAAAGAATATGTGTCAATAAGCATATCATCCACAGAAAGGAGACAGGAAGAAAGAGGTTTGGCTCGTCCCAGGCTTTTGAAACCTCAGAGTTTACTCCCAGTGGCACACTTCTCCAACAAGACCACATGTCTTAATCCTTCCCCAAAGACTTCCAACAACTAGAGGCTACGAGCATGGGACATCTCTGTGACCCACTGGACACACGCCAAGGCAGAAGAAGAGCAGTTGGCAGCCATGACCAGTGCTAGAGAAAGTCTATGTGCGGGAGGCTCAGGCTGGAGAGCCCCAGGAGGTGACCTCACTTTCCTCACAATGGTCCAGATGTTACTTGGCATCCTGGTTGCCAGGTAGCCAGAGGCGGGCAGTAGCCTCACAGTTCAGGCTGACTCACTCATCCTGAGAACCTCAACGAGTGAGGATGTGGTCCTGTTTTAGAAAAATCCATGACTCAGGCCACATAAAAGGCAAGAGTGGTCTCCTTGGCCACCTTTGGGATCGTTTGGTGTGCCTTGTCACACACGTCTGGTCATCTTGTACCATGGAAGAACAGGTAAGACAGGCCAGCCTGGAGCAGGAGACCTTTCTGTTCTCCTAATCTACTGCAATCCCTGCCTGGGGCTGTGTTCCTTTGAGAACACTGGGGAACATTCTTTATGCCCCCTTTCCCTTTAGTGTGCGGTAATGGGTTGTTGATATCTCTCAGAGTTTCCACATTTGAGCTCCTCCTTTCTTGGTCCTTCCTCAGGGTCAAGAGGAATTGGTCCGCCTATTTAGACTGCTCAAATTTGACCATAGAAATCCAGATTTCATAGAGAATGTTGTGTCCTACCTCCCTACTGCTCTACGAAAGGGAAAGGACGACTTTGTGGATGCTTTCCTTGTTGTCTATCCTGCTTTCGCCACCACCCGGAAGGTGCTGGTATTAATAACGGACAAGATTATGTGAGTGGCTACACCTGAGTTTCGACCCCCGCGCCTCCTGTTTTGGTTTTAGGAGGACCCTGCTCTTCTCCAGGGCTGTGTGCTCTCCTAGGGAAAGTACAGTTGTGTCCTGGTAGAGTTCTTCTCCTGCCTGCCGCTTCTGACTGACAGGGCATATTGAGGGCGAGGAGATGGATCGAGTTTGTGATATTGACCCAAGTAGTGTCAAACACTACTCTTTTTTATGCCTTGAGCAAAGACTCTTTTCCCATTTGCAAAGAAGGCTCTAAGCTATAAGGTTATATGGGAACAATGGAGCCAGAAGGGATCCCTGCAAGGGCCCAAGGAAACCCTGTAAACCCAAGAACCCTGAAAAGGGGCAGCTTGGGTTCCACCTGTTCAGTTCATGACCTTAAAGATCTGTGACCAGAGGCTCATTCCCAGGCCCTCAGCATGGAAGTCAGAAGAATACAAAGAGCCCCCTGCAGTCCAACCCACTCCCTAGCTTCTATTCCTATACTGGCTTTGAGAGCTCCCTCTAGATCTCTGGGTGGCTTGGGGTCATAGGACTTTAGCAGTGACACCCTCATAAAATGCCACAGGTGTGGATCTCCCGATGCTGACTTTCTAGAAGACTACGTTATAAAGAGGTGAGTGGGCTTTGGGTGACAAGGGAGGTAAGAGCCCAGCTACAGAGTGGGAGGTCTGGGGTGGCTAGGCTTGAGGACTAAGCCATTACAGGTAACCTTGGTCTTGGGATCCCCATAGAGGATGATACCAGAGACTTTCCGTGCAGGTTGAGAAATACAGAGATCTCCAGTGATAGCCTTGCTTCTCAGGAGCAGAAGGAAGGATGAAGCTCAAGGGCCCTAGTGGAATCTATCCCCGCCACAGTGCAGTCCAGTTAGCCCATCCTGTCCTCCAAGGCACAGAAAGTGTCTGAGGCCTCTCCAAAGAGTCCTCACTCCTGACATGAGACCCAGAAGCATGTGGGCTGAAGAGCCTTTTTCTCATCCGAGGGACCCCTGCTGTGCTGGTGAAGGGAGGCCAGCCAGGCTTCTGACTCTACTTCCTGCTAACCTGCTCTTTCCTGCAGAAAAATTCTATACTTTCTGATAGACTGGATGCAAAAGTTGCCGCAGGATTTTAGGATGGCTCCGGACCGGGCGATCCTGAAGAGACTTCTGGACTACCTGTATCAGGACTTTCCTCCAGTATTCCCCCGACTGAGTGTCCAGAGGCTCCTGTCACAGCTGGAGGCGCAGAAGTCCGCGGAAACGCCCGAGGAAGATGAGGAGGCCACAGGTAGGTACCTCGGAAGGTTGGAGGAAGTTTCCTTGTTGAGGTCCACCAGGAAATTCTGCAGAAGCCTTGACCCGGAAGTAGAGTTGAACACTGTTGTGGAATATTAGTTTAAGATGTGTTACATTCGTTTATGCTGTGGAATTTATGTTGAATGATGCAAAGATGTTTTTTTTTCTTTTATGTTGCATCTGTTTAACTCGTAAAGCCTTGTTACCTTGCCTGCCTGAAACACCTGATTGATCTAATAAGGAGCTGAATGGTCAGCAGAGAGAAATTGGGGGGGCTGGCGGGAAGAGAGAGTAGATAAGAGAAGAAAACTAGGGAAGAGAGCAAGGAGCGAGAAAATGAAAAGGAGAAGGAGAGGAGGATGCCAGGAGCCAACCACACAGACACACAGTCACACAACCACACAGCCACACAGCTATACAACTCCTCAGCCACACAGCCACATAGCCACACAGCCACACAGGTACACAACCACAGTTATACAACCACACAGCCACAGAGCCACACATCTACACAGTCACACAACCGCAGAGCCACAGAGCCACACACCTATACAGTCACACAGCCACACAGCCACAGAGATAAACAACCACACATCCACTCAACCACATAGCGAAACTGCCATACATTCATACAACCACACAGGCACACATCTACACAGCCACACAACCACACAGCACACATTCATACAACCAAGCAGTCAGACAACCACACACCCATAGAGCCACAGAGCTATACAACCTTACAGTCACGTACCCACACATTCACACAACCATATAAGGACAGAGTCACACATCTACACAGTCACTCAGGTACACAACCATACAGGTACACAACCACACAGGCATAGAGCCATACCACCGCACAGCCACAGATCCACACATCTACACTGTTACAGAGCCACACAACACAACCACACATCTATACAGTCACACAGCCACACCACCACACAGTCATACAACCATTCAGCTATACAACCACATAGTCACAGAGCCACACAGTCAGACAGCCACACAACCACAGTGATAAACAACCACACAACCACACAGAAAAACAGCCATACAGTCACACAGTCACACAGGCACATATCCACACAGCCCTACAACCACACAGCCACACAGTCACACAACCAAGCAGTCAACCACACACCCACAGAGCCACAGAGCCACACAACCCAGAGTCACACAACCACACATCTATACAGT